GATTTGACAATTTTTGCAAAGTTCTACCCTGTGCTATTTTCTTTTCTTTTAACCCTTCCTCTTTCTCTTCCACCCTTTCTTTTTTCTCTCTCCTTCTCTCTTTTCTTTCTTTGTTCATCCGTTCTCTTTTTTCTGTTCTTTCCCCTCTTCTCCTCCTACTCCACTTTCTCCTCCTTCTCCCTTTTCTTTTCTTTTCCATCTTTTTTATTTTTTGAGTGAAGCTCTATGGTGGGACAGGTGAAAGAAAGAAGATAGGAGAAAAGTTCCTTGGCTTTTCCACACTTAGAATATCACTAAAAACTGTGGAAAATATTACAACATATTGAAATTTACAATGAGTGTAATAATTGGAAAATAGAATATTTAGATATTCTGACTAACTGAATATTCTAGCTAGTTCAAAGTGAACTCATAATTTTTTAAAAATTTTGACCCCTTTTTGAAGATGTCCTTATATAATTACAGATGAATAAAATAGAATTATATGCTTAATAACATTGTGCCTACACTCCCATTTATGATGTCATTTATGCCAAATTTAAAATAATCACAAAAGTTTTAAATAGACTGGGCATTGGTACTGAATATTGGCTGTGTATTAGATTTATCTGTGTGTGCTCGCTTCCGGCAGCACTTATACTAAAATTAGAATCATCTGTGAAGGTCTTTAAAACACTAACTCCCTGGGTCCTCACCTGATACCAGGGGTTTTAAAAGCTCTCCTAGATGATTCTAATGTGTAGCCCAAGTTCAGAATCCCCAAACTAGGAAGTCGTCTATGGATCTGAACCCATTTTAGGTTATTTTAAAATCTAGCTTATGCGAACCTGGATTGATTGATAGAATGTATTCACTAATTTATGGAACTATTATATGTTTGGTATCTGTCCCCTAGATGAATCATTATGACTGAAAATTATACATCTTATGCTAGGGCTTTTTAGCAAAGCTCTGTACAAAGAAATGGTGAGTAGTTCTTTAAGAGGGTTGGGTAGTGTTTCTTTAGAGTTGATCTTGAAGGATGAATATGCACTCATTAGGAAAAGCAGAGAATAAAAATAAGGGACTTTCAAAAAATATTTTTTACAAAGTCATGATAAAAGTGCTTAGTGTATTAGGGACAGGCAATCCAGTAATGAAGAGATTAGAAAAGAGGATGGGGCCAAACAGGAGGAGACCCAGGTGTCATGCTTCAGAGTTTGAACTGTGTCTTATGAGCTTTATAGAGATGTGAGCACACAACGGTTGACAGAGAAAGAGAGGGAGGGAGGGAGGGAGAGAGAGAGAGAGAGAGAGAGATTGAGACTGATTTAGTAGTAAGGCCTTCTATTCTTTCTGAGAGTCCTGAATATATCCATTCCAATGTAAGATTTAGAAAGCCCAATGTTTCATAGTTCCTTGGATTATCAGGTTCAATATAATTATAAGAAGGTTTTTAAGTTGAATAATGACTGGATCTAAAATGCTAACTAAATTATTATATGCGAATAATAGCTAAAATTGCATGAGAAGTATGTATGTGCAAGGCACTTTTGTAAGGATTTATCAGTACTTAACCCCTTCAATTCTAACAATGACCTTATGAAGTAGTTATCATTACTCTCTACTATATAGATAAGAAAACTAAGGCACAGAAAGGTTAAATAATTAGTCCTTCCACAACCAAGAGTCAAATCTTTGCAGATTGGTTTCAGAGATCATGTTCTTATGTGGTATGTGGCTTCTTATCTACAATAATTATAACTAACAATGTGTTGAATACTTACCATGTGCCAAACTCTGTGCTTTACAAGTATAACTTATTTAGTCTTCACAACCAATTTATGGACCTAGTATTTTCCCCTTTTTATAAATAAGGAAGTTAATTAAGGAACAGAACTGAGGGCTTTATTACTTCAACTGTAGCACAGGGTTCTTGGCCCATCAGAGTTCTTGATAGAGCCATGTGTGTTAGCACAGTTCAGCATCCCTGCTAAACTTGAAGAGATGTAAAAACCAAGTATTTAGTAGCATAAAAAATGTATCAGTTCATCCATTTTCAAGATTCTGTCTTTGCACTGATTACTATGTAACTTTAAATTATTGACTTTAGCTCAATAAACTACTAAGAAAAGAAACATGGAAAACAACAGAAATATCCTAAATCACTGCAGTGAATGTTAGATACAATGTTAGATTTCAGGTGGTTGAGGTAAGACTCCTTATAATTAAATATATTATGAATAGTTGCCAAAGCTGTTGTCTATACCATTGAGAGCATACTAATTGTATACAGTGCAAAGTTTCCAGGGATGCTATTAAGCAATGATTCCAAGGCTCTGCTGTGAAGGCTATAATTCTCTGTATAACCTTACTCGGTCATTTAAATGCAAAACAGAATGCTACTGCCATTATATTTAATCTATTTTTGATTATAGATGAAAAAGAAATCACTGCCTTTGCCAAAAGAATCGACTAAGCTTTGCAACAAGATCATGCCCTGCAATTTACAAAGAGATGAAATCTACCAGACTAGAAGGTGGTTTTCAAATTTCCAAATGTCCAAAGGAGTGGACCTCAAGTCCCCAGCTATATATCTAGAGTCTTGCCCATACATTATTATTTATATCCAATGTACAGAATGTAAATAACTGGAAATTAAACTAATCATCATTTCCATCATTATCATCTCCAAATACAGTGTGCTCACCACATTTCAGGGACTGTACAATTGTTTCACACTCATAATTGCTTATCTTAGCAGCAACCCCACTAAATACATACTATTATCTATGTTTAGAGAAGGAGAGTGAGACATTTCTAGTCAATATGAAAACAGAATTCAGAGAGGAATTTTCTTTTGTTATTTATGATCCTATTATGCCACATCATTATCAAAATTCTTGCCTATGCATAGTATTGTACTATTGGAATAATAGGGCCAGATTATGAGGGAATATGAGAAAAATAGAACCATGATTTTCCTGCAATCTCTGTAATACTTTTTTAGTTTGCAAAATGACCTTACATATAACCAAGAGAATTAGGTATTTTTAAAACTATACTTTCCCGTTTCCACATAAGGAAATAAGGTTTTGAGGGTCAGTAGCTTGTCCAAGTCCCCCAATCAAAAAAAAAAAAAAAACCAGCAAGAGCTGGTTTTCAAGTGTCAAGCTGTTAGGCTTGAAACCCAGTAGGCACTATGACACACCCTTTGGGTTGGGGCTCAAAGTCTAGTTGAATCTGGGCATTCACTCTGGGCTATCAGGGGAGTGCTTTGCATATTGTGATGACAGCGTTAAGCATGACCAAGGATCACAGAGTGAAGATGAGTATCTCTGTTTGCTGGGTGTGTGCCAAGAGCACCGGTTGGACAGGGCTTTGTCCTGGAAAACACTGATGGAAGTAGTTGTAGTTTCCCAGGTACTGAGACAATAAAGCTGTCTTGTTATTGAATTTTTTTACCCAGTATCATGATAAATTGAAAAATTCCCAGGGCCACATTCTAAATCTGTCCTGCCTGGAGAACAGAAAGATAAGTGGCACTAGACCCATAAATAATAGCTTCTTTGAGTTAAATTTCCATGTGTTGCCTGGAACTTGAAGTTTTATACAAGGCCGTGTAATATGAAAAAGGTTTCCATTTTTGCTGTAAAATTCTTGTTGAAGTTATTGAGTTTTTAAGGGCCCGTTTATATAAGGATCTATGTAATAATATTAGCAATTAGTTACAGCAGCAACAACAAATTTGTTTTTCTAAGAACAGACTCATTTTCTTATATTAGATAATGATGATTAGGTAAGGCATTTTTCCTTTTTTGTGTGTTTGCTAGGTAACTCATAATGAAATGTTTTCTGGTAGACCATAGATACTCTATTAATAGTCAAAATAACTCATGTGTTTGTCACCTCCTCTATCTACATTGTTTTCATTTTCTATTTCCAATGACTTTCATATATAATTGCCTCTTTCACATTTACAAAGTAAGCTGATAAATTTATTAAATAAAATCAGGTAAATTCATTAAATAAAAACAATCTCCATCTTGCAGTTGAGCAAACTGAGAGATAGTGAAGGTTTTCCAAGCTCTACTTCATCGACACCAATGTCTTTTCAGTTTTTAAAACATGGCGGGTGTTCTGCTGCCTCTGAAGTTCCAGCTGTTGCTCACTATGCCTGTAACCCCCCTTCCTTTCTTCCCTCCCTCTGGTTAATCAACTCTTTTTGCCCCCAACCCACACAAACACACACACGACGTTATTTGCAAGTGGACTCTTTTGCGTCTTTACCAAATGTTACTGTCTCCGAGAGATTTTTTTTTTTACTGTTCCAGACAAACAAGATGCCCAGGGTCCTTCTCATGCTTTGCTTTTCTTCATAACTTACCTTGTTCAATTCTTTACTGTGCCTCCCACAAGTTACAAGACATGTTAGTTTGTTGTTGGTGTGCCCCTTCCTTGAATTTATTCCATTCACCATTTCATTCCAACATCTAGCCATGCCTAACACGTAGTAGCTTAATAAATATCTAATAAAAGGCATGAGTAAGTTGATAAATATATATATGCTCATACATACCTAATAACTATAGGTTTCCTAAAGTCAATACTGTATTTATTAAAGAGGTGGGTTAGTGTGCCTGGGGTGGGAAAGAGTGTTGTCATTCTGTAGTCTTGCAAACCTCCTAGAAATATTCCCATGATTTACTGTCAGTGATCCTAGCTAGGAAAATGAAGGTCAGCATGTAACATGTATACCTCTATTCTCCTAGATATTTATTTAAACATTCAAACATATTTATTGGGCAGTTTCCGTGTGCCAGATTTTTCTTCTGATTATTGGGACTATATCAGTAAAACAAACAAAGATTCCTTTCCTTGGGGAGTTTATATTTGTAATGAGAGGTCGGGGACGAGACAGACAATAAATAATAATTATAATAAATTAATAAATTATATAGCATATTAGACTGTATTAAGAAATATGGGAAAAATAGAGTTGAGTGAAGGGGATCAAGAGCACTGAGATCATGAGGTATAATAATTTACAGTAGGGTAGTTTGGGAAGGCCTCATTAGGGAGGTAAGATTTCAGCAAGGAATTGAAGGAGAGGAGTTAGCCCAACAGTTACATGGGAACAAAGCTTTCCAAGCAGAAGAAACAGCTAACGCAAAGACCATTAAATTGAAACATGTCAGGCATGTTTAAGAAATAGCAGGGGAGTCTTGGTGGCTAGAGTAGAATGAGCAAAGGGGAATAGTACTAGGAAATGAGGTCAGAAAGGTAATGGAGTGGAGACAGATTATGAAGCTTTGACTGAATGAAATGGAAAGTTACTGGAGGGTTTTGATTTAAGCTAACTTCTTGCAAAGAGCACTCTGGCTGTTGTGTTGAATGTAGCCTATAAATAATAAGTAAAGAAGCTGAAAGACTTGCTGGAAACTATTGCTGTAACCAGGTAAAAGATGATGGTGGCTTGATTCAACATGGTATCCGTGAAGGTCGTTAGAAGTGGTAGGGTTCCGGAGATATCTTGAAGGTAGAGCCAAGAGGATGTCCTGACAAATTGTCCTGTGTGAGAGAAAGAGAGGACTCGATGAAGATTCCACATTTTAAATGTAATCAATTAAAAGTATAAATAACTTTTTTCATTCTTTTTTCCTATTCTACATAAGAATTAAAATATTATGATTATTGATAGCTCATCCTAAGGCAAAAGTCATACCCTTGAGCAATTTACAATCAGTACTTATTTTGGGGACTGAAAACATTATTTCTATATTCCTTTTAATTTTACCTAATTCAGCACTTTATGGTTATAAGGTAAAGCTATATTATAAAATGTCACTGAACAATTTAAGATTACATAATTTTGTTTTTCTTCTTATCTGAAAATATCACTACTGTTCAACATAGGGAATGTCCTTTGCATTTTAGCTTTTAGAGCATAGGAGGTGTCTTGGTAAACAATAAATTACCTTTATAGAGTGCTTTATCATTTCTGACAGGCTTTGACGCATCTTATCTCATCCCAGCTTCTCCATAACCCTGGGAGACAGCAAGGAAGGAAATATTTGTAGGAAATTGAAGAGTTTAAGTCACTGAGTGGCCACCATTAGAATCCTTTTTACCTGGGCTCATCTCACACACTTTGTGTACTTTGAGTCAGTTCCAACTGATGAAGAAGGATGGGGAACTTGGTGCGTCCTATGCTCACTCAAAGCTAAGTGTCCCACACAAGGATCAAATCTATGACCTCATCCTCAATGCCAATGCCCCAGCCAACTGGGCTAGCAAACCATTTTACATATCAGACTTAATTACATCTCTAGAATCATCTAGTCATTAGTTCCTGTTTATTTTCCTTAGAACTCTCACTTTTTTTTTTGTATTTTCTCATTTATACCATCTTTCTCATTTTTTTTATTCAGGAAGATCAATCACAGCTGTGCTGGCCTCTTTACAAAGTACTAAAGCTTGCTTTGTGGGTTGCAATAAAAGAATTTCAAAAATGAATGCTATCCTTAGAGTACACGTGAAAATGTGCCATTGTAAAGATCAACAAGGGGTGGTAGATACAGATCTTTTTCCTTTTTCTTGTTGAATCCTGAAGTTATCAAGGAACAACTTGCCTTGTTTTCAAGGGTCTGGTGGGAAAGGTACATTAGTAGTGTATGTTCAGGACCAACCCCCTCAACTTCAGTGTCTTCATTTTTAATATTTCGTCCAATTGCTTGGCTCCCAAAATTCAGCTAAGGGAATGTAATGGAAATTATCATATCACTATAATGTCTTTCTTTTCTTTAAATTAAGTCATGCAATTAATTCACACCAATCTCTTCTGCAGAAGCAGAAATTAAGTGCTTTGGGAATTTAAAGATCGCCTAAGCCTTTTTTACCATCTTGGTGAGTTATTGGGGTGCTGGAGGAAGGGGAGCAAAGTCATCTCAGGAAGTAAAAGATATTTTACTGCTATGGAGGAAGAAATTGTAATGGATGTAGAAAGAATCGTTTGTAAGAAGTGCAGACATGCAAAATGGCATTATTAATAATAAGTAAAACCATTAAAGAGACTGCTCTTTCTAACCACTCACACCTCTGAATCATTTTGGGGTTCCCTGACTTCCTGGTTCTCCCTGCCCTCCAGCTGTGACGCCCCTTTTCCCAATCACTTAAGTGCCATCGTCAGAGAGACGCTTATTATCTACCTGCTCCCCCAGCTGCTCTGAGTGACACACCACCCACGCCTCCCCACACACAGCTCTTCTCTTTCGGCTGCTCCGGGAGGGAAGCTGAGGAGCTGCAGAGGGAGCCTGAGGCTACCCTCTTCTGAACCCAGGGACTATGAGGCTTCAAGACACTTGTCACCCACCGAGTCGGTACCCTGGTCGTTCTGCCGCCCCCCGCCGCGCGCTGCAGGAGTAGGAGCCAGCCCTGCGCTGCGCTTCCAGCTGCGTCTGCCAGAGTGCGGCACGTGCTCCCAGCGCTGGCGCGGGAGAACGAGCGCCACCGCCGCGGGCCCGGCGCCGCTCTGCCTACTGCCACCGCTGCCTCCATCGCCACCACTAGCGCTCCAGCTGCAGCCAAGGCCGCTAAAGGAGCGCAGGAAGCCCGCGAGGAGCGGCTGGCTGGGGGCGCCAGGCTCAGGGCGCGCACCTGGTAAGCACAGCGCGTTTTTCTTTCTTTCAGCTCTAGAGTCAACACGCATGTAGGATACCGCCGGAGCCCCTCCCCCAGCACAGGGCTGGAAAGCATTCAGGCAAGGGGCGGGAGCTTGAGCGAAGGGACCCAGGAGGGCAGGTGGTGGGCAGGTGGAGAACTGGTGGAGCCAGGGACGCTACGAGGTCCTGCAAGTTTAGAAAAGTCACCCTGCAAGGACATGTGCTGTGTGAATCAGACATGAATTTCTAGTCGGAAGCCCAGGCTACAACGGCATCGCTCCAATGAGAGGTTTATGAAGATCATTTGGCTTTTTGAGGGATTTAAGTGGGCTCGTTTCCATAGAAAACGAACTAAAAAAAAAA